CATGGGGTGCAGCCCACCCGCTTCCCACCGAAGGTAACTCCCCTGGTTTACCGGGGAGCCGGCTTTGGTGCTGGCTGGATCCGGTGCCATCCCTCGCCGGATCCCCCTGGTGTTGGGGGGTGACTCTAAACCCCATAAATTAATTTATTCCTTAATTTCAGGGCACCGACGCCCCCTCTCCATCGCTGTCCTCCCGCAGCCTGTTGCTCTCCGCCATCGTCCTCACCCTCTTCGTCCTCATCTTCTTCCTCTTCTTCAACCTCCGGCTGAGCTCGGCACTCCGTGTTGACGCCGGCGGTGATGCTGGTGGCGATGCCGGATCCTGCGGTGACGCGTGCCGGTAAGACAATCTATGGGGAGGGGGTGTGTGATGCTCCCCTGAGACCCTTGGCATCCCGGTGCTACGATCTCACCGGCGCCACCGAATTTTTGCCGTAGGATCGTCCTGGTGGAGAGCATCCCGGAGGGAATGACCTTCAGCGAGGGTTCCGTGCCGAATCCATCCACCTTCTCCACGTGGAAGAACCTCTTGGGGACCGTCACCCACAGCCTGGACATCGCTTCCTTCTACTGGACCATGACCAACGAGGACACACGGACGCACGAACCCTCTGCCGTCCAGGTCCGCGCTGCCGGCATCCGGCACGTACGGCACAGCTCCGATTCTGGTGCACGAACCTGGCTCTGGCTGCTGTTTTCTCGCCTTCCCATCGTTTTTAATCGTTTCTGCTTTTTTTTTTTCTTTTTAATTGGCTTCAAACCACATGCTGATTCAGGGTGAACAAATTCTGGAGGAACTACTCCAATTATCCCAGCGCGGCATCGCTGTCCGAATCGCCGTCAGCAGCCCGTCGGCAAAATCGCCCCTGAACGATCTCCAAGCACTGGAGCAGAGCGGTGAGTGATGGAAAAAACCCCAAATTGAGGTTTTTTGGGGGGGAGGGGGGGATTTTGAGTGGGAGACGCCCAACTCGTGGTTGTGCAGGTGCCACGGTGCGCACCGTCGATATGCCGCGGCTCACTGGCGGCGTGCTGCACACCAAGTTTTGGCTCGTTGATGGCACCCACCTCTACGTTGGGAGCGCCAACATGGACTGGAGGTCTTTGACCCAGGTGAGCAGCACCATCGCACCGCTGGCTGGTGCCAAACCTGTGCCGAACGGTGCCGGTGCTGTCCCCAAACCAACCTCCCGTCCCCAGCAAGGGATGCTCGATGCCGTAAGATGGGACTTAGGGCATCGGAGAGGGATGATGGCGCCGTTCGGTGATGTGACAGTGCCACCGTGCCGCTTGCCGCAGGTGAAGGAGCTGGGCGCCGCCGTCTACAACTGCAGCTGCTTGGCCAAAGATTTAGGCAAAATTTTTGAAGCTTATTGGGCTCTTGGCATTCCCGGTGCTTCCATCCCAGTACCGTGGCCGGCAAATTATTCCACCACCTTCAACATGGAGACGCCGTTGGAGTTGAAGCTCAATGACACCGATGCTGCCGTCTACTTCTCGGTACGTCCCCAATCCGCTGTGATTGTTTTTCCCGGTGCTGAGGATTGGCTGTGCCGGTGCTTGATCCATCTCCGATGATTCCGGTAGAGGTCGCCCGCCGGCTCTCTGTGCCACCGGTCGGACCCAAGATCTCGGTGCCCTCCTCAACGTCATTGATGCCGCCGAGGACTTCGTGGACATCGCGGTGATGAGCTACCTACCCACCACCGAATTCTCCCACCCTCAAAGGTTCGTATGGTGCTATGCCGACCCTGGCGTGCCAGCACTGGTGACACCTAACTGCTTTCCCTCCCCAGATTTTGGCCAGCAATCGATAACCGGCTGCGGAAAGCCGTCTTCGAACGCCGGGTCAAGGTTCGGTTGTTGGTGGGTTGTTGGCGGCACAGCCAAGCGACCATGTTCCCCTTCCTCAAATCCCTCGCTGCCGTTGCTGATAATCGGACCCGCTACAGCGTGGAGGTGGTGGGTATCGTGGCGTGACCGTGGTGTGCCGGCGAGCGATGTTTCAACGGGTGACGGTCTCCTTGCTCCCCGCAGCGGCTTTTCATGGTGCCGACGAGTGCGGTGCAAGCCCAGATCCCCTACGCCCGGGTGAACCACAACAAATACATGGTGACAGAGAAGGCGGCGTATATTGGTGAGCGGGGCGTGAGTGGCGTTGCTGCCGTGCGAGTCGCTGCTGGCCGCTAGTGACGGTGGCTTGGGGGCGGTTTTTGGGGTGTCTCCTCCACCCCCCTATCTCCTTGCAGGGACATCCAACTGGTCTGGCGACTACTTTGTGCGGACGGCAGGATCGGCGCTGGTGGTGAACCAGACGGTGAGCCAAACCGGTGCCAACACCAGCACCATCCGGGAGCAGCTGCAGGCGGTTTTTGAGCGGGATTGGAGCTCCCAGTACAGCGCCGACATCGAGGATGCCGAGCGGTGGGAGAACCTCTGTGGCTCCCGTTAGGTGCCAGGGAACAGGCCAGCGGTGAACCACAGGTTCTGGCTTTGCCAAATCTGACTGTCCCACTGCGATTTGGGGAAAAAAACCAGAAAAAAATAGAGTTTTTCTGGACTTTGCTTTGCTCTTACTGAGTTATCGAGGTGCATGGTCCTCCACGCTGTGGTCATGGAGAACGCCGGGCCTTTGCCAAATGCCGTGCCAGCACCGTCAGGGAAGCCGGGATGCTCCCCGAGTCTTGGCAGTGCCAAAGCCATCCTGGCAAAGAATCAGGCGAAATGCTCGGTTGTTGGCAAACCATTTATTGGGGGATCATTGCAAGAACCGGTGCCGGTAGCTTCTGGCACGGTACATCCCGGCGCGTCCCTGGATACGTTCTGCTCTACCGGCGCGGTGCC